ATGGAGGTGATAAAGACGTTGAGTAAGGTAAATTATGTGGTAAGAACACCAGGAAGAAGAAAGTCTACTCGAACTTACCATATAAATCAGCTAAAGAAATACTACGAAGGGCTTGTCCCTGTGGCTGCGGTGAGGATACAAGAAGGTGACCCAAGTAAAGAAGATTGTTCACGTGGAGTAGAGATAAGACTGAAGAACTCGGAAATAATGGAAACCTTAGATAATTATCTCGGTAACTTAGAAAAGGAAAGAGCAAGTGAAATCCGAGACTTGGTTTACACCTATAGAAGTCTCTTTGGAGATATCCCCAGACAGTGCACCATGGGGATCCATGATGTGGACGTGCAAGGAGCTGCTCCGGTTAAACAAGCTCTGTATAGTCAGCCCAGTAAAGAATAAAGTTCTGAGGGAGGAAATAAGTTTCCTGTTGAATCATGGTTTGATTGAACATAGCAAGAGCCCTTGGGCTTCACCGTGTGTCCTTGTACCCAAGTCGGACAGTTCATTTAGAATGTGTACCGACTATCGAAGAATAAATTCCCTAACGGTGCCTGATGGATTCCCCCTTCCTAGGGTTGACGACCTAATAGACAGCATCTCCAGTGCTAAGTATGTCAGTCGTTTGGACCTCCTGCGTGGTTATTATCAGGAGCCGTTATCGCCACGAGCGCAGGAGATTTCTTCTTTCACCGTGCCTGGAGGCTAACTACAGGGTGATGCCCTTCGGGCTCTACAACGCAGCCTCGACCTTCCAGAGGCTTATGAATCAGCTGACGTATGACTTGGAAGGAACGGAGGCCTACCTAGATGATCTGGTAATATTCAGCGATGACTGGCCTCAACACCTGATTCGGTTGGAAGCGCTCTTGAAAAGGCTGGATGAACACAATTTTACCGTCAACCTTGCCAAGTGTGAGTTTGGTCAGGTCCAGATCAAATATCTCGGATTTAATATAGGACAAGGCACGGTTGCCCCCGTCAATGCGAAGATTCTTGATATTATGGATTTTCCCGCTCCGCAAGACAAGAAAGGTGTACAGAGGTTCCTAGGGATGGCCGGTTACTACCGCCGGTTTTGCCCTAACTTTTCGCAAGTGGCAGCGCCCCTGTTTGAACTTACAAGTTCTAAAGTTCCTTTTAAATGGACGGCTACAAGTGAGTTAGCCTTTACTCGTCTAAAGCGTCTACTTGGTTCCTCTCCAGTTCTACAGAGTCTGGTGTTCGACGCTCCCTTTACTTTACAAGTGGATGCCAGCGAGTATGCAGTTGGTGCTGTTCTTCTACAACCTTCCTCCTCTTCTGATCTTTTACACCCAGTCTGTTATTTTTCTGCAAAATTGAAACCCCATCAATTAAGTTATGCAACCGTTGAAAAGGAGGCACTAGCACTGGTCTTAACCTTGGAATACTTTGAGGTCTATCTCGGGACTACCCCTCATTAAATTAGAGTAAAAACAGATCATAATCCATTAACCTTTTTAAACACCATGAAGGCTAAGAATGTTAGAATACAAAGATGGTCCCTTAGGATACAACCTTTTTCTATAAGTATTAACCACATTAGAGGAGCTGATAACATGATTGCTGACGCTGTCCCGTCCTTAAGACATGTTATTAAATTTGAGTTTACAAAAGGGGGGATTTATGGTACATTTTTATAGAGATGTATTTGTTTAATGCATTTTCTTAATACTATTTGTTTACTTAGAGTTATCTGATTCTTGTAACCACTGAGGAGACCTGTCACGTAAGCCACCATATGGTATCCAGAACTTGTTTCTGCGGTGGCAGTCTCCTGTTGTCTTACCCTGACTTCTGCTACCAAGGGTCACTTAAGACCTCTTTATGGGAAACACCTCTTCTACCAGAAGCTCTGGTTACGTGGTGTCTACACCATACGTGGTTTGGCGACAAAAGACCTTTAATTTTCTTATTGGAGAAGCAACATTTGTCATCAGGGTCTTAGTCGTCGAAAGGTTGGGGGTGTTATGATCAAGGTCATAATGAGATTAATTTATATATGTATTATCCACTTAATATTATACTCGGGGTTTCTTTAATATTAGCTAAATTAAAGATTCCACTAGTTTATAATATTATCTGAATTAGGAATATACCCGGGTATGATGTATATATATATATATATATATATATATATATATATATATATATATATATATATATATATATATATATATATATATATATATATATATATATATATATATATATATATATATATATTTATGTATTTTGAGTAATGTGTTGGGTAGGTAGGTAACAGCTGGCTAAGAGTTGAAACAAGATATGTCCTTGTAGGGTAGTTTAGCCTACTCTTCCCTCTCCCCTTTGGAGAGTTGATGCCATGCAGGGATTAACTGTGTTAGTTCAGTCCGCTCTCTCTGCCGACTCAGTGTGCATTGACTGAGCTACCCGTCCAGTACTCCACCTTATTCTCACTTGGATAGAGAATTGTGTTGTAGAAACTCCTGAACCAGCTTGAGGTTTATTCTGAAGTGAAGTCTGCGGACACTTATATATTGTTACCCTCAGTTTACGATGTGACGACCTGTGTCAAGCTTAGAACTTTGTGATATATTCCTTATGCCAGGGAGTTACTCAGTGAAAGTGTTACTTCTCAATGTATGTACCTGCGTACAAGTAATGTCACTATTGAGGAAGCAGTAATATTCCTCTGATCATTAACAAGTGTAGTGACGATATTGACAGAGGGGGTCTATGATGTACATTCTATTTAAGAGTTTTCTTGTGCGAATGAAAGTTTCTGACAAAGTGTTATTTAATAAATATTTGTGAATATCTAAAAAGTATTTAAGCTTTTAAATAAAAAAAGACTAAGAGAAGACTGAGTAACTATTATTTGTGCCTTACATTTCTTAGTTTGGAAGTATCTTCTCATTCTATGAAGTGTATTGTTACGGAGTGTACTAACCTGGCTAAAGATTAAGATTCGAACCGTAACAGTAAGGTATCTATGGATTGGCAGAGAGCCTACATAGCTCCTTCGTATAAAGGCAAAGGAGACAAAAGAGAATGCTAAAATTATAGGGGAATAAATCTGTTGAGTATACCTGGTAAAGTGTATGGATTTTATTATTGAAAGAATTAGTAGTAAAGACAGAGTAGGATAGCAGATGAACAAGGAGGCTTTAGGAAAGGTAAGGGGTGTGTGGACCAGGTGTTTACAGTGAAACAAATAAGTGAACAGCATTTAGATAAGGGTAAAGAGGTTTTTGTGGCATTTATGGATTTGGAAAAGGCGTATGACAGGGTGGATAGGGGGGCAATGTGGCAGATGTTGCAGATGTATGGTGTAGGAGGTAGGTTACTGAAAGCAGTGAAGAGTTTTTACGAGGATAGTGAGGCTCAATTTAGAGTATGTAGGAAAGAGGGAGATTATTTCCCAGTAAAAGTAGGACTTAGACAAGGATGTGTGATGTCACCGTGGTTGTTTAATATATTTATAGATGGAGTTGTAAGAGAAGTAAATGCGAGGGTGTTGGCAAGAGGCGTGGAGTTAAAAGATAAAGAATCACACATGAAGTGGGAGTTGTCACAGTTGCTCTTTGCTGATGACACTGTGCTCTTGGGAGATTCTGAAGAGAAGTTGCAGAGGTTGGTGGAAGAATTTGGTAGGGTATGTGAAAGAAGAAAATTAAGTGAGTGTAGGAAAGAGAAAAGTGATGAGAGTAACGAAAAGATTAGGTGGCGAAAGGTTGGATATCAGATTAGAGGGAGAGAGTATAGAGGAGGTGAATGAATTCATATATTTAGGAGTGGACGTATCAGCAGATGGATCTATGAAGGATAAGGTGAATCACAGAAATGATGACGGGGAAAAGGGTACGTGGTGCACTTGGGGGTCTGTGGAGACAAAAAACTTTATCCGTAGAAGCAAAGAGAGGAATGTATGAAAGTATAGTTATACAAACGCTCTTATATGGGTGAAAAGCATGGGTGATGAATGTTGCAACGAGAAGGCTGGAGGCAGTGTACATGTCATGTCTCGGGGCAATGTGTAGTGTGAATATAATGCAGAGAATCTTAGTTTGGAAATTAGGTGGTGTGGGATTACCAAAACTATTATCCAGAGAGCTGAGGAGGGATTGTTGAGGTGGTTCGGACATGTAGAGAATGGAACAAAACAGAATATCTTCGAGTGTTTATAAATCTGTAGTGGAGGGAAGGCAGGATAGGGGTCGGTTTACGAAAGGTTGGAGGAAGGGAGTAAAGAGGTTTAGTGTGCGAGGGGCTTGGACTTCCAGCAAGCATGTGTGAGCGTATTTGATAGTGAATGGACACAAATGGCTTTTAATACTTGACGTGCAGTTGGAGTGTGAGCAAAGTAACATTAATGAAGGGATTCAGGAAAACCGGCAGGCTTGAGTCCTGGAAATGGGAAGTACAGTGGCTACACTCTGAGGGAGGGGTGTTGATGTTGCAGTTTTATAACTGTAGTGTAAAGCACCCTTCTGGCAAGACAGTGATGGAGTGAATGATGGTAAAAGTTTTTCTTTTTCGGGCTACCCTGCCTTGGGTGGAATCGGCCAGTGTGATAAAAAAATGTATATCAAATAATATTCTGCAAACCTACGGGGATCGATTTCACTACTGCACTATGCTTCACATGTTAGGTGTCCAGACACTGAGCACAGTGACTAAAGCTATCCTCGTTATGGGGAATAGAAATATCCCTAGTTCGATGAATATTGTTAGAATTATTTGGTTGAGTGGTTAGTGCACTGACCTGTGAGTTGTAGAATTCACTTGCCATGGGCTGAAGCACCACCTATTTCGTGGATTTAGTTATATACTTAGTGTAATTTAACAGATGCACTAAACAAGCTCATTTCTATCAAATACACACACACACACACACACACACACACACACACACACACACACGTGAAATAACAAACTTTAACTTTACACGAGTAATGGTCAGTTCCTTTAAATAACATTAACCCACGAGTACTTACCTCGTTGAACACTTGATCAATCACCATAACATCAAACTCCTTCCTTCTTTTATAAAGGTCCTTCACCACGGGGACTTTGTACAACTCCCTAGCAACAGCTGGCAGAAGAGTCTCTAACATTAACAAGGCTCTACTGTGGTTCTTCCTGTTGTCGAAAAAGTTAATATTTTCCTCCCTGTAGTATGGAAGGTCGTGAGGAATATCTTCAATGTTAGGATGTTTGGACGACTTCGGTTGGTTGGTCAACATCACTATCTGAAAATTTTAGTTAAGCTGTATATCAAGATAAGGTTGAGGGAACTTGACGAAACCCACAACAAAATCTGAATTAAAATCATCATTGAAAATATTTAACAGAATTTCTCTTACTTTTTTTATAAAGGAATCTTTTACTTTTTGTTACTGTTTGTTATTACTCAAGCAATATTTAAGATATTTTCTCAGTTATACTCAGCTTATAAATTATTTCTCAATGTATTACTCATGAATTTATTTAGGCTAATTCGGAAATGCAACCATAAAACATTTTCGCATTACCTTGTGTCCACGGTCGGCCAGAGCCTCAGCGAGAGGAGTGAAGACATTCCTGTGACTCCTGGAGGAGACTGGAAGGAGCATGAGGATCTTATAGGACCTCTCAGGTGGAGACAACTTCCCCATGATGCTTCCCACTAGCATCACCACCAGTACACACATCGTCGTTGACTTCATCTGCAGACACCATGAATTACACTTTTAACATGTAGTACATTTCAGTATTGTACTAAATGAAGAATATCTATGCAGGCAAAGTTTTAAGAAAGTAATGATTATTTCATTGACAATGAGCAAGTTGGTCCATTTTTGGGAGGAGAGAGAGAAGCTAAGATCAAGAAAGATCTATAACTTTGAGAGTTTATATATTCTTACGGATGTGTGATAAGGTCAACATTATTTTTAATATGTACATCCGAGAACCTACCTGGGAGTTAAAAGTTTAATATGTACATCCGAGAACCTACCTGGGAGTTAAAAGTTCAATATGTACATCAGAGAACCTACCTGGGAGTTATAAGTTTAATCAGCCACTTAGTTTATATGCTGCCGAATCAACTGTACTTATAATAAGAAGAAATTAGATTTATCCCTTCACGAGAGATGCAAATATCTAATATTACAAAATTACATTTTCATTGGGAAAAAAGACCTTTTTGATAGAACTATAATTACGTTTATTTCCCTTCAACAAAAGGATAACAGAATTCATTAAGTAATTACGATCAGATATAAATAACCTAAAATGGTTCGTTAAACGAATACAACTCAATACAAAATCTGCTGTTAGCTCAAGTAATTAACAAGGTTAACGTACGCTTTTTTTTAACCAAACCTAACTTAGAAACTTCACCTAAATAATGAAATTTGTTTTCCTAAACTCTCTTCAAATTTACTTAATGTTACTTCTCATTTAAAACTTCCATTTTTTCCTGAAGGCAAAAATCAATAATTTATACCTCTAATAAGATTATTATTCTTAATGGATATTTAGCCTAGTATTTAAATCAGTTTATTTTTCTTCTGTCAGACAACATTAGAAGAGAATCATGTATAATTAAACCAATAATGCATATAAACCTTTTGCCCCCGGGGAAACCCCCCCCCCCCCCCAAAAAAAAACCCCCCCCCCAAAAACCCCCCCCTTTTTAAAAAACCCCCCCCCTTTGGAAACCCCCGGGGGAAAAAAATTTTGAAAAAAAAATTCCCCCAAAAAAAAAAAAAAAATTTGGGGCCCCCCCCCAAAAAAAAAACCCCCCCCCCCCCCCTTTTTTTAAAATTTAAAAACCCCCCCCCCCAAAAAAAAAACCCCCCCCTTTTTTTCCCCCCCCCCCCCCCCCCCGGGGTTTTTTTTTCCCCCCAAAAGGAAAAAAACCTTTAAAAATTTTTCCCCCCCCCCCAAAACCCCCCCCCCCTTTTTTTTTCCCCCCCCCCCTTTTTTTTTTTTTCCCCCCAAAAACCCAAAAAATTTTTTCCCCCCCCCCCCCCCCCCCCCCCAAAAAAAAATTTTGCCCCCCAAAAAACCCCCCCCCCGGGGAAACCCCCCAAACCCCCCCCCAAAACCCCCAAAAAAAATTTTTAAAACCCCCCAAAAAAAATTGAAAAAAAAACCCCTTAAACCCCCCCCCAAAACCCCTTTTCCCCTTTAAAAAAAAACCCCCAAGAAAAATTTCCCCCCCCCAAACCCCCCCCCGGTTTAAAACCCCCCCCCCTTTTTCCCCTTTCCCAAAAACCCCCCCCCCCCCCCCCCTTTTTTTTTAAACCCCCTTTTTTTTTAAAAAAACCCCCCCCCTTTTTTAAAACCCCTTAAAAAATTTTAAACCCCTTTTTTTCCCCTTTTTTTTTAAAAAACCCCCTTTTTTTTTTCCCCCTTAAACCCCCCTTTGGGTTTTTTTTTTAAAAAAAAAACCCCCCCCCCCTTTTTTTCCCCCCTTTTTTAAAAAAACCCCCGGGCCCCAAAACCCCTTTTCCCCCCCCCCCCCCCCTTTTTCCCTTAAAAGGGCCCCCAACCCCCCGGGAAAAAAACCCCTCCCCAAAAAACCTTTCCCCCTTTTTTTTTTTCCCCCCCTTTTTTCCCCCAAATTTTTTTACCCCTTTTCCAAACCCTTCCCCCTTTTTTTTTCCCCCCCCTGTTTAAAAATTTTCCCCCCAATTTTTCCCCCCCCCCAAAACCCCCTTTTGGGGGCCCCCCCGGGAAAAAACCCCCCCCCCCCCCCAAAAAACCCCCCTTTTCCCCCAAATTAAATTTCCCCGGGAAACCCCCCCCCAAAAAACCCCCCTTTTTTTAAAACCCCCAAAACCAAAAAATTTTTTTTTCCCCCCCCGCCCAAAAAAAAAAACCCCCCCCCCGGGAAAAAAACCCCCCCGGGGTTTTTTCCCCAAAACCCCCCCAAAAATCCAAAAAAAAAACCCCCCCCCCCAAAATTTTTTAAAAAAAATTCCTTAACTCCCCCCCAAAAAAAAACCCCCCCTTTAAAACCCCCTTTTCCCCCCCCCCCCACAAAACCCCTTTTTTTAAAAAACCCCTTACAAAAAAATTTTTTTTTTTTAAAAAAAAATTTTTCCCCCCCCCCCCGGGGAAAATTTCCCCCCCCCCCCAAAATCCCCCCCCCAAAAAATTTTACTTCCCCCCCCAAAAAACCCTTCCCGGGGAAAAACCCCCTTTCCCCCCCCCCCAAAAAAAAAAATTTTAATTTTAAAAAAAAATTTTTTTCCCCCTTTTTTCCCCCTTTTTTAAAAAAACCCCCCCCCCCCCCCGGGGCCCCCCCCCCCCCCCCCCCCCTTTTTTCCTCCCCCCCCCCTTTCCCAAAAGGGGAAACCCCCTTTTGGGAAAACCCCCCAAAACCCAAAAAAAACCCCCCCAACCCAAAAATTTTTTTTTTTTTTAAAAAAAAAACCCCCCCAAAATTTTTCCAAAATTTTCCCCAAAAATTTTCCCCCCCAAATTTTTAAAATTTTAAAAAAAAAAATTTTTTTGGTCGGGGGTTTTTTTTTGGGGGGGTTTTTTTTTCCCCCTTTTTTTTCCCAATTTTTTTTTTTTTCCCCCTTTTTTCCCCCCCCCCCTTTTCCCCCCCCCCCCCCCTTTTCCCCCTTTTTTTTTTGGGTTGGCCCCCCCCCCTAAAAAAAAACCCCGTTTTGGGTTTTTTTTTTTTCCCCCCGGGAAGGGTTTTTCCCCCCGGGGTTTTTTGGGGGGGGGCCCCCCCCCCCCCCCCTTTTTCCTTTCCCCCCCCGGGCCCGGGTTTTAGGGGGGGGGAAAAAATTTTTTTTTTAAAAATTAATTAAAGGGGGGGGGTTTTTTTTTTTTTTAAAATTTGGGGGGCCCTTTTTTTTTCCCCGGGGGGGCCCCCCCGGGGGGGGCCCCCCCTTTTTTCCCCCCCCAAAATTTCCCCCCCCCTTTTTGGGCCCCCCCCCCCAAACCCCCCCTTTCCCTTCCCCCCCCCCTTTTTCCCCCCCTTTTCCCCTTTGGCCCCCCCCTTTCCCCCCTTGGGGGCCCCCCCCCCCCGGGGCCCCCCCCTTTTTAAAATTTCCTTTAAAAAGGGGGTGGGTTTTTTTTAAAAATTTTTTTTTTTTTTAAAAAAAAAAATTTCCCCCCCCCTTTTTTTTCCCCCTAATTTTTCCCAAAAAAAGGGGAAAAAACCCAAAAAATTTAAAAAACCCCCCTTTTTTTTAAATTTTTTTTTTTCCCCCCAATTTTTTTCCCCCCCCCTTTTTCCCCCCGGGAAAAAAAAAAAAAAACCCCCCCCCCCCTTTTTCCCCCCAAATTTTTTTTTTCCCCCCTTTTCCCAAAAAACCCCCCCGGGGAAACCCCCCAAAAAATTTTGGGGCCCCCCCCGGGGGAAAAAAAAAGAAAATTTGGGGAATTTTTGGGGGGCCCCCCCCCCCTTTTTTGGGGGGGGGGTTTTTTGGGGGGAAAAAAAATTTTTTTTTTTAAAAAAAAATTTTTTTTTAAATTTTTTTTAAATTTTTTTTTTTTTTTTTTTTTAAAAAAAAAAAATTTAAAAAAAAAAAAATTTTTTTTTTCCCTTAAAATTTTTCAAAATTCCCCAAAACAAAAAACCCCCAAAAAATAAAACCCCAAAAAACCCCCCCCAAAAAAAGGGGGGGGAAAACCCCCGGCCAAAAAAAACCCCCCCCCTTTTTTTTTTTTAAAAAAAAAAAAAAATTTTTAAAATTTTTTTTTTTTGGGGAAAATGGGGGAAAAAATTTTGGGAAAAATTTGGGGAAAGGGGGAAAATTTTTTTTGGGCCCCCTTTTGGGGGGGCCCCCGGTGGGAAAAAAAAAAAAAAAAAATTAAAAAAATATATAAAAAAAAAAAAAAAAAAAAAATTTTTTTTTTTTTTTTTTAAAAAATTTTTTTTTAAAAAAAAAAATTTTTTTTTTTTAAAAAAAAAAATTTTTTTTCCCAAAAATTTTTTTTTTTTTTTTTTTTAAAAAATTTTTTTTTTAAAAAAAATTTTAAAAAACCCCCCAAAAAAAAAAAATTTTTTTTAAAAAACCCAAAAAATTTATTTTTTTTTTTAAAAAATATTTTTAAAAAAAAAAATTTAAATTTTTTTTTTAAAAAATTTTTTTTTAAAAAATTTTTTTTTTTAATTTTTTTTCTTTGGGTTTTAAAAAGGGGTTTCCCAAACCCCCCAAAAATTTTAAAAGGCCGGCCAATAAAAATTTTTGGGGGAAAATAAAAATTTCCTTCCAATAAAAAAGGGGGGGGGGGGGGAAAAAAATTTTTTTTAAAAATTTCCCAAAAAAATTTTAAAAAAAAAAAAAAATTTTTTTTTTTTTTTTTTTGGAAAAAAAAAAATTATTTTTTTTGGGTAAAAAATTTTTTTTTTTTTAAGGTTTTTTTTTTTTTTTTTAAAAAAATTTTTTTTTTTAAAATTAAAAAAAATTTTTTTTTTTTTAAAAAAAAAAAAAAAGGGAAAATTTTTTTTTTAAAATTTTTTAAAAATTTTTTTTTAAAAATTAAAAAAAAAAAAAATATTTTTTTAAATAAAAAATTTTAAAAATTTATTATATATATATATATATAAATTTTTTTTTTTTTTTTTAAAAAAAAAAAAATTTTTTAATATATAAAAAAAAAAATTTTTATTTTTTTAAAATTATAAAAAAAAAAATTTATATATATTTTTAAATATATATATTTAAATATATATATATATAAAAAAAAAAAAATA